AAATCGCCAGCTTCTAGGACCTTTTCTGAAGCTTGAAAGGCTCAGAAAAGGTCCTGGAGGCTGGCAATTTCGCCCCCGCTGGCCCCATGGGGGTGGGGGGAGCCTTGCAAGGGTCCTGGAAGGCTCACTCAGACCCTTGTGAGGCTCCCCCCACGGGGTCAGTGGGGGCAAAATCGCCAGCTTTGCTCCATAAGACGCACAGATTCCCCCGCTTTTTTGGGGGGGAAGTGCGTCTTATGGAGCAAAAAATACAGTATATAGAAACGGAAAAAAGAAAGACAGATTCCTTTGAAGAGGAATTCTATTATGAAGAACCCTCAGTTCTAGAAAGTGAAGTGAAAGTTGCTCTGAAAGCACTGGGAAGAAATATATCACCAGAGGTAGATGGAATACTGACAGAAGTATTTCAAGCGATAGAGACTGGGGCTGTCAAAATCGTAACAAGAATATGGCAACAAAAATGGAAAACAAAACAATGGCCCACTGGAAACATTCAATATACATTCCAATCGACAAGAAAGGAGATGCCAAGGAGTGCGGGAACTACAGGACCATTGTTTTAATTTCCCATGCAAGCAAACTGGTGTTCAGGGAGTTACAACAAAGGCTTTTACCTATATGGAGTGAGAAAGGACTGATGTTCAAGCTGGATTCTGAGAAGGAAGAGGCACTTGAGATCATATTCAAAATATCTGCTGGTTACTGGAGAGTACCAAAGAATTGCAGAAGATTTTTATAGACTATAACAAAGCCTTTGACTGTGTGAGAAACCATGCATTGTTCTGAAAGCAATAGGTGTGATTCACTTTTTGATTATCCTGATGTGTAGCCTGTATTGTGGAAGGTACCATTAGGGCAGAATAGGGAGAGACAGAATGGTTTCCAATTGGCAAAAGGAAGTGCCAAAGAAAGATGGGAGTTTTATTTATTATTATTTAAAATATTTTTATCCTGTCTTTCTTCTTAAAGCTAAAAACAGCAAGTATACTATACATACACAGCCCGACACTGCATTAATTTTGTTTTGATCACTGATATTTCATTAATTTGAGAATACTTGTCTCAGTTTATTTATTTATTTATTTATTTATTTATTTATTTATTTATTTTATTTTATTTTATTTTATATCCCGCCTATCTGGTCGGTTAAGACCACTCTAGGCGGCTAACAACATACTGCCATCTTGTGTACTGTTGTATTTTTGTATCTTCCATACCAGTTATTTTACATTTACAGAATTGGTTTTCTTTTGCTGATGTTTTACTGAATTATTATTGTTGTCTTTTTCCATGTTTCTGTTATGATACTGTAAGTCATGCCAAATAGTGGCCTAGCGACTAGATGGCAGGGTAAATATCCGAATGAATGATTTAATGAATATGATCAAACACCATACTACAAAATGTAAACAAAAACAATACAAAAAACACTGTGCCAAAGCAGGCCCGCAGCTGAACGTTAAGAAGACAAAAATAATCTCTTCTGAACATTAAACTTAACATTAAGAACTACAAACTTTAGGGATGACAATGAAGAAGTTGAAATTGTTAAAGCCTTGTATACCTTGGCTCAATCATCAATCCAAATGGAGACGGAAGCCAAGAAATCAGAAGACTGAGACTTCGAAGGGCAAGAATGAAGGAATTTGATCATCACGTGGAAGGATATGTGACGGTAGAGCAAGACCAAGATCATCCATACTCTTGTATTCCTGGTCACTATGGAAATATATGGAAGCTGGGCAGTGAAGACTGCCATGAAAAAAAATTGATTCATTTCAAATATGGTGCTGAAGAAGAGCTTTGGAAATACCCTGGATTGCCAGAAAGATGAACAAGCCAAGCCTGAACTATCTCTGGGGGGCAAAAAAGACAAAACCCAGGCTATAATACTTTTGGCATATCATGAGAAGGCAAGATTCTCTGGGAAAGACAATAAGGCTGGGAAAGGTTGATCAGGAAAAAAGGAAAACCAAATATGAGGTGGATTGACTCTCTAAAGAAAGCCATAGGCTGGAAGCATACAGAAGCTGAGCAGGCCTGTTGAGGACAGGACATTGTGGAGATTGCTTATTCATAAGTCGAACGTGAGTCAACAACATGTAGTAATAACAACAAAATAAAATCCTATTTCTGGCTTCACCCAGTTGCTAAAGAAGCACACTTCTTCCTGCACTTATTGTCAGAACTGTAGTACCTTCAAATGATATAACAGAAGGGGTGGTTGTACCACGACAGAATATGATACCATCTATTAAAGAATGGGAAAGAAGGACAGCAGGAAATATATTGCATTAAAATTACTTTTTAAAAAAAGAAGTAGCAAAGCTGCTGACAACCCTACAGATTCTTCAGTTACAAAGAACTTTTTCGGGACCTATGGTAGGACAATCAAATTAGAATAAATTTAACTTTATATTCTGGAGACTGCTTATATACAATTAAATTTTTATTTTTATTTATTTATATTTATCTCACTTTTCTCCTAAAAATGAACCATGATGACTTACATCATTAAAAATACAATATTAAAAGCTGAAAACGGTAAATTATTCAAATGTATAGAATTAATAACATATTAAAAATGTAGATTAAAAGCATTATAAAAAAATTTAGAAGCAAAAACACATAAACCGTCCCATTTATTATCCCCTAGAGAGTCAGTCACTAGGGAATAGTCTGTCTGAAGAAAAAGGGATATATGGTTTTTGAGATAGTTTGGACCCAAGACATTTAAGGCTGGCTGTATAGGTTAAAACCAGCACCTTGAACTGTGCCTGGAAATGGATGTGCAGGGAAGTTACATTATCCTTGTAACCAGCCCCAGTTAACAATCTGGCTGGTTTTGGACCTGGCTTTCCAGAGGCAACCCCATGTAGAGTGTGTTACAGTAATTCAGCTGGGATGTAACTCAGGCATGTTTCACTGTGGCCATATAATGTTAAACATACAGACATTGTATTTGAGGAATGTTCCCTTGGTTGCATGTGAAGCTAGAAAATGTGGATGGTTCCTTTTTCTCATGACAAAATTCTCAGTATGGGGGAAGTTTACAACACACAAAACATTGAAAGAAGAACAAGGTTAGTTATACACTGTTAGAATTAGTAAAGGGTTTTTTTGTTGTTGCCTCCACTTTGTGCCACTCAGAACACTGGGTTTAATTCCATCCTGGTTTAATAAAGGACCAACAATGAAAAAAGCTCATAAACAACCAAAAAAGAATAAACAAAGAAAAACTTCTGTTATTTTGACACTATATAAAGTAAATTTTTCATAATTTTCACTTTGTATTTTCTGCTGTCTCTTGTTTTAAAAAAAGATACATACCAAAATATGTTAGAAACATTATATTGGTTCTCCCAGGCCCTCCACAGTCTTTAATCAAACACAAGAATTTTCACACAAAAAACATGTATTTTACTTTTTTCAAAATATACGTAAACATAATATTATTACAGTTCTTTAATATTTATCTAAAACAGAAAACATTAACGGAGACACAAGGGGACCACCACTGATGCAGTTGGTTTGCCTGCCTTCTACCCAACCTTAGATGTTTTCATCCCAAGCTTGTTTTTTTTAACTGTTCACCTTCCCCAAGCTCCATTTAACAGCTATGTCAAATGCACTGAGTGAATGGGCTTGAAGAGGAAGCGTAAAAATTATGACAACAAAAAATAAATCCCTACAGCAGAGAATGGGTAAGAAAATGCAGGTTTGGTTGAAGGAGAGGGCTGTGTCCAAGCAATGGATGATAGTGGCATGGAGTAAATATGTCAAGTCCTCAGCCAATCCGACCTCTTGGATTGATCTCTTTGGTCTGCCTGGCTGCATTCTTTCGCTTCAGAATGAAGCAGCTCAATATTGCTGCCCTCTGGTTACCTCCTCTGGGGTCAGAGTAAAGGCTTTCTTCCCCCTCCTGTCACCTTTACCAAAAAGATGCCAAAAAGTACTATCTGGGACTCTAGTTCCAGATGGCAACTGAGACTATGAGCATTTTCCCGTTGCGTCTTCCACATATCAGTCTTCGTAGGCCTGAAAAACACTGAACTGAAAAACATGTGAAGCCCCCTATCATTTGTGGTTCTCCAAAGAGGCTGGTCCTTTTTTATTTTTAAACCCACTTTCAATGACACTGTCATTTTAAGGAAATGACAGAAAGGAAATGACCTGCCTCCTGGAGGATCACCCCCATCCTCCTGAGCATATACTGGCTAATCAGGAAGACTAACCACCATGGGAAGTTCAGCTGAGTAGTCACAGTTCAGATTTCTCTTAAATCTGCCTCCAATAAACTTGAAACAACAACTTGTATTAAAAAGTTTGCATGTCAGAAAGTAGGTTGGATTCTCTTACAGGGTTTCAGACATACTGAAACAGACAAGAGGTGCAAAACCCGAGCCTACGGTCTGTCCCCAGAGGTGAAATTACACAGCAATGCAAGGAGCAGAAATTCAATTTTTATTCAAGATCACAAAAGGGCATACTGAGGAGAAGGAAAGACAGGCAGCAGTACCTTAATGCCGTCCACTGGGTTATGGATAACGGTGGTTTGAGGTTCCTACAGAAGAAGGAAGGATGAATCAAAGAAGAACAAAACAAGGAAGAGAAAGAAATGAAAGAAAAGAGGTGGTAGTTGGAAGAAGAGGGGACATGGAATAGAAAATGATGATAAAAATATGAAGAAAAAGGAAGAAAGTGAAGACAGACCAAGACCCACATAAGAGCAGGGAAGGGAGGAACAAAATGGAAGGGAAAAAAGCAAAAGGTAATTAGTTCAGCAAAAGGCAAATGATTAACAAACAGAAAGTGGCAGAGTAAATCAGGAAGAGAAGAATCAAAACTGGAGTTTCCATGAATGAAGCCAAAAATCATATCCAATCCCATGGCGAGATTGTTGTAAGCCCCTTATAAATGGAAAGTGCAAGCTGAACCTACATTCAACCCTTTTTCAAGCTGAAATGACTACTGCAATAGGAAGAATGATAGAAATACCAAGAGAAAATGGCAGTAATGAGCTCCCTACAGAGGTGTGGTCAATTCATACCTCAGTTCACATCTCAATATGGTCTCTACCTGAGATCAAAGGGAAGAAGAAAAAGCAAAAGAAGAGCTAAAATTCCTTTGATCATACCCTCTGATCTTGTAGCAAAAGACAGCTCTGAATTCGAAACAAATGTATATCTGGTTCAGAGGAGTTCCATGATCTTCATCATCGCAGAAACTGAAGAATTTACTTTTTTTTTGGACTATATATCCCAGAATATCCTGAACCCATGCTGACTGGGGTATTTAAGGAGCTGCAGTCCAAAATGTAGATGTTTCAGTCTCTGCATCTTTCACCCAAATGTGTTTTGTGCAGACACACTTGCCAAAAGGTGGATGCAGAAGAGAACACCTCTGGAGTGAGTTGATTAACTATCTTTATGGCCAAGTACTTACCTTCTTAATCAACAATGATGGCACAGCTTATCATGCTTTAAGAGATTTTTAAGAGATACTTACCTTGAAATAAGTGTTTGTGTGTGTGTATGTGTGTGTGTATGTGTGAAAGAGAGAGAGGATGCTCTTTAAAAATGAACTTAATGAATACAGGTACTGTGTTAAAATAAAGTAAACAGATGTGTACACTGAGTAATTATGTTAGAAAATACCTGCTTATTGTGCTATCCTGCTTGAAAAAGAGATTTGGAGATCTTGAAAGTTTGCAAATTTTGTTTCTTTTTGGTTGGCCAAAAATTTATGGATTCTGGAATTTGTTTAGTGAAAATCAGGAAAAAACTGTGTGCTCCCCAAAGCAATACAAATGCAGGAATAGGTGATACTTTTATTGGATCAATTAAAAAAAACCAGTGAGCTTCTGATTATAATTCATCTTCCTCAGGTTGTGGACTACATTCTTGTGGGTAGCTCCAAAATGAAATGTTTTTATTAAAGTCTCAAAGTCCCATGACTACTGTTGGGGGCCAGATGTACCTTCTTAGATGGAAGCAGCTGTACTCTGCAGTCTGCAAGAAGACTGTGAGGGAGGGTGTGGCTTCATTCTCTTCTTCAGCTAGTGGTTTGGTCCTTATCACCCATCTCTCTAACAAAGACTTGGCCTTTTTCATTTTGTTATTTTTTTTCTTTTAGTGGTCCAGCTAAAGTACCACCTGTTCCTACATTTGTGGAATTTGTGTGATGACTAACATGGCTACTCTGGCTTTTTGTAAGACATAATTTGTCAGGTACAATGTCATGTAACATTATGAAAAGGAGGTACAATATATGCTGAAATTTCTTTCTATACATCTTTCTCTATGAAAGTTCAAGTAGATTTGAATTGGCCTAGGCATTTTAAATTTTGAAGTTGGCTTGAGCTTTGTCTGCTCTGCTCTGCTTCTCTTGCAGTGTTTTATGATTTTCTTGTCCTTTCAGTCTTTTTGGTCAACCATCCTAGTATGTTTGCATGAGGGGTGCATTAATATTATTAGAGATGGGGGTATTCCTATATGAGTACCCCCACAAGGTGGAGATAACAAGGGTCCAGCCTCCTAGGGCCGGACTGTCCACTCACCCTTCCACTACTGCCACAGGCTCTGCACTCCCTTTTAATCGCTCCAGAGCACCTGGTCTGAGAGCCACTCTTCAACCTGGCAGGAAGGCTCGTCATCCCTCCTCCTGCCAGGAGTGGCTAGCTGACCATGAGCTCCGGAGCAACAGGAAGGGAGTGCGGAGCCTGCAGTAGCAGCAGAAGGGTGAGTAGACAGTCCAGCGCTTATCTCCACCTGTGTGGGGGTATTCATATTCATATATGAATAAAAATACCCTCATGTCTAATTAATATACCTTAAAAAACAACAAATAAGAGTATTATTATTGCATCAAGTCACCCTGTTTAGGAGGGGAACTGCTAGAAAAAGAAATCCAACTAAAGTAAATAAGCATTTTAATTGTCCTCTCAAATACATTTGGCTATAGAAAAGTTCTTCAAAGTAGGCTACACACAACTCCCATTGCCCTTAGCAAGCATAGATGTTGGTGAATGATTAAGGAGCACAACAGTGTCCCGATGGCCACAGATGCCCACATCTGGTCTAAGGCAGTGGTCCCCAACCTTGGGCCTCCAGATGTTCCTGGACTTCAACTCCCAGAAATCCTGGCCAGCAGAGGTTGTGGTGAAGGCTTCTGGGAGTTGTAGTCCAAGAACATCTGGAGGCCCAAGGTTGGGGACCACTGTTCTAAGGTACACAATTCAGATTCTTTTTGGTGTTGGTAGTATTATTCGGAAGAAAGGAATCTGCCCTTTTAATGGTATGTGTAACCTCAATCATTCAAGCTGGCTAGCGCTGTAAGATAAATATGAAAGTTTACAACAGAGAAAAAGCCAGCAAAACTCTTCTCTGAGACTTGTGTTTGAAAGCTGAAAACTTCCAGTTGGCGAAAGCATGCTATTCCTCAACTGCCACTTAAAAAAAGGATAGCTCTTGGATGATTTATAAAAAGGCAAGTCTCTATGCTCATTACGCAACAACAGGGCAACTAGCATTGCCCATTCTGTCAGTACTGGCAAGAAGTCAGTTTTGGCAAGAAAAACCTGATTCACTGGACGAACAAAGCAAGGCTTGATGTTTTCTAATTTAAAAAACCCAGTTCTCATCTGAAGAGGCTGAAACAGTGGGTGGGAAGATCTGCTAGGGATATATGGGAAAGAATGGAAGGGTTTTTCCAAAGTTGTTTTCTCACCCCCAGTGTCACAAGTTGAACCGGGGCACTCAACAGCAACTTCCTAATTCTTCACATGCCACACGGGGCTCTAGCTATTGAAGTCACTGAAAAAATGTTCTCTGTGCCTTCACCATAGCCAAGGCTTCTCTCAGTGAACAATTAGATGAACTGAACTGCATTTTATGCAATGAAAGGCATAGTTTTCAACCCATTTTCTCTGGAAAAGCAAATATTTGTTCTCTTGGCACCATCACAGAAATAATCAGTAGTTCTGCCACACTGTCTAAAGAACTTGTAGTCCTTCCCAAACTGCTGTTTCCTTCTGTGACCCAGCATACTGGGAGAAGAATTCTCACAACACTGAGTCCCAAGAAATGATTTGTTGGACTTTTTAATAGCAAGCAGATAACGTAGTTAGTGATTAACTTGTCATACAATGTGATTTAACCAAATTTCCCCCCACTGAAACAGAGGGTGGTGGAATGCGTAATGGCATTTGGGGAGGACTATATCCAATAAATGAATGTGCTCTTCATTTTGAAACTAACCATTTATAGCATAACTAAAGGATTACAAAATGTATCCTTTAAATTGATAAGAGGAAATAAATGGAACATCATTGCTATAATGAAGTTGCTCATTATTACAATCAGTTCAAACAGTTGTTTAAAATCAAGGAATAAGAAAAGAAACTGTCTAAGACAAAAGGCCTCTACAACTTGAAGAGAATAGACTCATAAGAGATTAGCGTCTCTTTATGACAAAGATATTATCTGAGAAATTTAACAAAGCCATTCTATTAGAACAGCCAAAGTACATATTTGTGCTCACACACAGGATATTCACATTTTATTACATTATTAATCCATCTCCAACATGTATACAGGTGTTTACTATTTCCTGGACACTGAATCCAGATGATTTTGCTCAATTGCTCAATTGCTAGACAACATCCTTTGCTGTGTTCCATTACACTCAACCAGCAAGATAAAACTCCCCGAGATACTAGCCTTAGAACCCACTCTTCTTCTGTCCCTCTTCCCCAAGAGCTGTTATGTCATGCGTTAGCAGCCAGTTCACGTGGTTGCATCTGAGGGAGGAATGAAGCAGTGGGCTTCTACCCTATAGACTCAGCTCAGCCAGATAATGTTTTCCTTTCTCTCTAATTCAAGGTACTCATCATAACAACAATTATGTAACATTAAGATCCTGGGCCTCTGTTTGCTCATATTGGTGTCTCCATTGATTCCTTGTTACTTTTGTGTTGTGTAACCTATACATTGGTGGACAGAGTCTGTCTTGTTTTCTAACCTATGTAAATGTTAGACGGCAGATGCTGCTTCCATCACCACCTATCCTGCCAGGACAAGATCACAGAGAAATCCACCAAATTTTGGCACTATGTTATTCTGTCAATTTATATAAATCCAGAATTCATTTTCTTTCAGAAGCACTGTGAATCCTGGGAGAATTCTGGGATGGTAGCAGTGGTAGTTACCGGTTATTAAGTACAGAACTGAATGACATTTAATCGTATGTGACTGAGGTCGATTCTGATAATGATGTAACTGAATATGATTTTGCTTCATTAGAATTGCTAGCTGTACTCAAGTTTGCAATACAAGTCTGCTTCCCACTGAAACTGATTGATGTGAAAGTCTTGCAAATACTCCTAGATGTGTAAACATTGCAACTTACCAGGTTTTTTTGTATCCTGTTTTCTATGTGTACTGAGCCATGACTTAGACATGTGGTGAATCTCATGGTTACTACATTTTGGTAAAACTTGCTCGCTAGTAAAATATTTCCAGGAAAGAGAACATCTGCTGTTTATCATCTTAATTTACTGTAATGAGCCATGTGCTCTGTGTGCCAGACTTGCCACTTTAAAGAGCTCAGACAAACTATTGTTTACATTTGGTTCTGAAAAAGTCAATCTCTGTTTTTAGCATAGGCTCCATTTGTTCTGTCTCTGATATTACAGCTTAGGGGATGGAATCCATCTTATACGTTAGACAAAACTTTTAAAAAACATGATAGGATAACAGCTTTACTGGGACACTAAAGTATCATAAGACTGAGTATCTCAGGGCTTTGGGGTGGGTGGGAACAGAAAAGTCCATCTGAAGATGGCCATTCAAGATTACATTTCTTCCTCCTGGAAGTTTAACTACAGGTCTTGTGGCTTCAAGACCTAGCCAAGTTGATTTTTAGACTTTTCTTTCTCTCCTTGCCTATACTTCGCAGTGCCTGGCCTGATGCAATTCTACTGGATTTGAAAGCTTGCCTTTTAACATTTTAGTGGTACAATTAAGGTGTTTTTGAATTTATGCTGGTTTTGAATTTTTCACACAACTGTTCTTTTTTAAATGAAATAAACCTGGACAATTCCCTCTAGTATAGCAGAAAAGGAAAATAATTCTGAATTTAGTATATTTAACTAGTACAACCCATAATCTCCTGCTTTCCTGACACAAAACTACTGTATTCCTCCAGCATATCTGCCTGTGCAGGGGATACATGCGTATCGACAAAGAAAGTGGGCAAAGAGGCTGAAAATATATAATCGTGATGAAATGTCTATGCTTTTCTGAATTTGCAGTCTCTGTCTAGCAATCTGTCTGTCAACAAGACCAAAGGCCATTACATCTGGCCAGATTTTTTTGAGTTTTTGCTTCTTCCCCACTATCCCAGATTTTGTACCATCTAAGTCTGAAAACAAGTTCTAGAGAATTCAAGTTTGTCATTTTGTAACAATAACCCATAATGGCATTACTTAGCTCAAAATGTAGTATCATTAAGGTTCTCTGTAAAACTGGGAGCTCCCAGTTTACACCGCTTTTCTCTAAATATGTATGAGATTCTTTTAAAAGCACACAAACACAACCCAAAAACTATATAACTAACCAGTAGCCAGTATGGGAACACACCAGGCTGTAGAATAATTATACACTACTAAGGCAAATAGCCATTCCTCAGAGTCTATATAGTTACTTGAATTTTAACCAGTTGCTTCTCAAAAATGGGAGAATAAAAGGCAATCTTTTGGTTGGGCATTAGATTGACTAAAATTTGGTTTAGCAAAATCTAAGATTATCTGACTCTGAAGTGATTGCTCAGGATGTAATTTCAAATAAGCAATCAGGCAAACCCCCAACCAAATTCATTTAGAAAAGATTTATCGTAACTGAAACTTTGTAAACAGAGAAGGAATTTCACTTATAAGCAATAGGCATAACAGTTTCTTTGAAGGAAACACCAGTGCTTACAAGTCAACTAAACTGATTTTAATACTACACAATTTCCCTCCACACTGTGCAGCGTGAAGATACCAATAACCAAAATCAATTTATTTAGTAGGGCATTAAAACAATCTAGAGTATTTGTTTTGCTTTCTAAACAAATCATGTTCTGAAGAGAACATGTTAACCGGTGATCCCTGTGTGTAACTGGTGAGACCTAGGTGCACATGCATATCTGACTGAAAATGCTGAATAAAATTATCAAGCAACCCTATCTTTTTATTAGGTCAATAGTGCCTAGCCCATCACTCCCTTTTTCTTTACATAGAATCAGTAGTGCAACATTTACATAAACAAGATGTTGGAAGAAAATATTGTGAAACAAAATGCTTAGCATCACCCGTTTGGGGTTATGTATGACCACATAGTAAAGGAAATCAGGAAGGAAATGGGTAGATGCCAACATTGTATCCTTTAAATTCTTCTTTATTATTTGTACATGTCAACCTGACAGAATTGCAGGTCTGGGTAACTGCTTTTCTTCCACTTTAACTCTGAGTGAAAAAAAAAGGATAAGAACCTGGGAGAAACTATGAAAACTAATCTATAAGGGCAGAAATTCTGATTTTATGTTCTCTTAACAAATGTTCTGTTATTGTCTTGGTGGCCTTACACCTGTGTCTAGCAGGTGATATGCAATTAAGCCTTAACACATCTCACTAAAGTAGATTTCTTACAAACAGATGCTCTTGAGAGAATTTTTTTCTTTCTTTTAGCCATCCTCAACCTTTAAAAAATGATGTTTAAGTTAGCCTTTGTCTCACAGATAAAAAGGTGTTCTAAGAATTTCTGTTAGTTTTTCAAAAGTAAAACAGCTCTGCTGACCTTTAATCTGCCTTTAACAATCTATCAGACATTAAAAGAAGTCTGTTTCTGTCAGAGCTTTGCCTTTATATGGCTTATTTCGGAGTCAGAGGCAGCAGTCGAAAGAGCAGCCCTTTAAAATCATAGGAAAGTGGATTTGGAAGGGGCCGAAAGGACAATCAAGTCCCGCCCTGTGCAGTCAATCCAGGAATACACATCTGAGGAGATCTGCCAGGTGATTGTCTAAGTTTCTCCTGAATGCTTCCAGTGTTGGAGCACTCACCAACTCCCGAGGTAACTGGTTCCATTGTTGTAACACTCTAACAGTTAGGAAACTTTTCCTGATATTCAGTCAAGATCTGGCTTTTTGTAACTAGAACCCATGATTATGTGCATGCATTCTGGGGTGACTGAGAACAGACCCTGCCCCTCCTTTGTATGAATATCTTACAAGTATTTAAAGAGTGCTATAATACCTCCCTTCAGTCTTCTGTTCTCAAGGTTAAACAAGCCCAATTCTTTCAGTTTTTCCTCATAAAGATTTGTTTCCAGTGCCCTGATTCCTGTTGCCCTCCTTTGTATTGGTTCAATTGTCAGCATGCTTCTTAAAGTGTAGTTTCCAGGCCTGGAAACAGGACTGAATATGAGGCCTAACCAATGCCAAATAAAAGGGAACTAGTACTTCATGGGATTTGGAGACTATACTTTTGTTAATGGAACCTGAAACAATATTTGCCTTTTTTGCACACTGTTGACTCATATTCAGCTTGTGATCTACACCAATTCTAACATCCTTCTTGCACGAAGTATTACAGAGATAAGTATCCCCTCAGTACAGAATTTTGCACTTATCATTCTTTTGTTTTCAGCCCAGTGCTCAAGCCTTTCAAAATCTTTTTGAATTTTATTTCTTTCTTCCAAGATATTAACTATTCCACCCAATTTTGTATTATCTGCAAATTTGATAAGCATTCACTGCTCCCCTTTATCCAAGTCATTAATAAAAATGTTGAAGAGTACCAGGCTCAGGACTGAGTGTTCTGTACCTCACTTGTTTCCTCTTCCCAGTTTGAGAAGGAGCCATTGATAAGCACTCTCTTGAGTGCAATTCCGTAACTAACCACTGTGTATTTACCTGATAGTTGTGCTACTCACTCCATACAAAGTTATCTTGCTAATCAGGCACTTAGTCAAAGGCTTTTGCTGAAGTCAAAATATATAATGCCTACACAGCATTCCCACCATCTACCAGAGTGGTTGCCTGATCTACAAAGGAGATGAAAGTAGTCTGGCAGGATTTGTTCTTGACAAATCCATGTTGGCTTCTGGTTATTACTGCATTGTTTTCAAGGTGCATGCAGATTTACCACTTTTTAATCTGCTCCAGAATTTTCCCTGGGACTGAAATCTGGCTGAAATCTCCCCCTCACCCCCGTTCCTCCTTTCTGCCCTTCTGAAGATAGGGACAACATTTGCCCTCCACCAATCATCTGGCGCTTTACCCATCATCCATGATTTCAAGAAAATAATATAAAGTGGATCTGAGAATTCTTCAGCCAGTTCCTTCAACAGATCTAAATCTAGTTAACTGGGTCCTGGAGATTTGAACTTGTTTAAAGTAATAATTTATTTGTTGCCTATTTGTTCCCTCTCAAACTTAAACCCTGTCTCCTCCACTTGTAATTCACATTTGCCTGGAGGGTCTAGATGTGGCTTGACTGTAATTCTCATTAGCTGTCCCCAGGATAGGGCTGGATTATTTAGTAAAATCTCTCCTGGCCTATGACTGAATAACAGTCTCAGTGGACCTCAAAAACAACGTATGTGTATGCTTGAAAATATTTTTAATGGGGTTGGGTCAGTCATTTTCATAATATTCCAGACCTCAGTACTGCTGGTACTCTGAGGATAAGATTTAGTCTTACTCATTTTTTTAATGAATATTATTTACAACGATATTTGGGTCATGACTTGCCTGACACTTCGACTAGATCAGGATTGTGTGTGAAATGATTTCACTGCTGTACTTTATTTTGTAGAACATTCTGCTAATGAAACTTCTTGCCCTAGAAATATACCTTGTTCCAGCAACAACACTTGGTATACTAATGTGGTGAAGTCACATAGCAGCCCAGGTGTCAGGTGCTATGTGGGACTCTGACTCACTGTGTATAGCTACTGCAAATTAAAATGACTCTAAGACCAGCAGTAGGACAGCAACAGACCTTAGGACAAGTCTCTAGAACCCTTGGGAAAAGTGATTTTCACATGCTGTCATCCTACATTCTCAGGCCAGAGAAAGTATCTGCATCTTTCTTATGGTTGCTGCTCAGAAATTTCTTTGCCTTAATTCTTTTTCATATGCCTAGATTTCAGCAAGATATGCCCAGGCATTTAAAATCAGTTTTACATATGACTGCATACACTGCTGTAATTTAAAGACATTTAGTGCTAGGTAAACAAGACCAATTATGCTGGCACAACAAGAATACAAGAAATATCCCCCAATGGATCAACATTTCAAGAATAAAATAAAATAACACATGGTGTCACAGGACTATCATGTACGCTGGAGCAAGAAGTTGCAGAGAGGGTGTCACTGTAAATCATATAGTTCAACTGCAAGCCTTAAAGTAGGAATGACATTATCAAGGTAAACGACAAATCTCATTGTTTCCCCCATCTTTTATCACAAGTATTATATTAGAAGTATAAGAAAATCATACCAGTGCAGCTGGAGGAAGAGTCCCTTTTGGGCTTGTGACTCCTGCGCTGCCTTTGGTGCTGTTTGTTTGCGGCTGTAGAAGAGAAAAACACGTATACAAAAAAGAGAATCCTTGGAAAAGGAAGCTACCTGAAGGGACTCCTTACAGGTGGGTCCACATTCCTAGTACCCAAACGCCTAGGAGAAGGTACAGAATCCCACAGTCTACATGAGAATTATGTGCAGATTAAGTTGTGGTAGATGAAAAATTCTTTCCTCCTGAATAACCTTTTTCAGAAGACATACAAAAAGCCAACAACCATTAGAAGAATGTCCAGCATATGATAAAAGATAAAAGTTCTTCAATCTGTCAGATGCGACTACTCTATAAAATGAATTGTTTAACAACCATGGGTTAATAGATTTAGACAGACAAGATATGTGTGTAAAGAAAAGTATCGCTCCTGTTAATGTGGCACAAGCTCCAGAAGAAGACTTACCTTCACTCCGTCAGCTTTCTTGTTCAGTAAACTTTTAGCTGCTGCACAGGGAAAGAAAGAAGAGGCTTTAGTCGCTACTCCCTCAGTGTCCTGAGACATATCCTGTGCTGCCTGAATTGCCTCCTCCCTGCCCCCGCCCCCCATAAAAAGAAACACTCAGGTTCATTGATGCTGTTTCCTCATCAAACTGCTGAAAGAGAATTGAGAACAATGGGCAAATCCTGAACTCTATGAGTGTGGGCAGAGCTCCAACATATTCCTAAGCCAAAAGTTAAGGTACGGATAGTAAAATGCCACAAATGGGCAACCTCCCAAATGCAGGGAAGTCAAGAGTAGGATTTTAGTACTTCTGCACAGCAGAAATTGCTTCACTTGCCATCATTTCTTAAATTGTGAATGGCTTGGACACATACTGGTTTGTCCAAGCTGTGCACGTTCAGCATATGGACAGGACACTGTGCTCAGCTTAACAAAGTGGCATTATAAATGAAGTGGGAAAACATCCTTTTGCATGAATAGATTCTTAAGACATTGTATCAACTTAGCCTCAGGAAGCCAATGTCCATGGTTTATTTACTCCATTCATTCTCGGTAATGTGCCTCCTTTCATGCTAATGATGGCCACTTTTCACCCATACCAAGCAGCTACATACTGGTTTAAAATTCACTAAAATCTATTCAGATGCTTTGCGAAAAGAGGGCAATATCCCTTGAACACAGTCTCAGGCAGCTGCTTTTCCATCCAATATGAGGGTTCCAATTTCCCTTGATATCCTTGGCAACAGTCACAAGCAATCCCTTTACAAGGATTTCCTAAGTCTTTAAAAATCAGCTGCAATTCAAACTGCTTTCTAAAAGCAGTCTGTGGAGCTCCCATTTAATAAGCACCTTGTCCTCAAGAAGAGGCTTAGAAGCTTGCTACTTGAGGTCCAAGAGGAGTCTCATCCTGGTAAGAGAGCCAATCTACCATTTCTGTGAAGCCATTGTATCGAACTATACTTCTCTTTCCATCATACCCTGATCTCACATCTTCTATATTCTAAATTTATTGTGAATCTTTTCCTATGCAACGTTGTAACTCTCAATTTATTTTCTTTTTTTAAAAAAGCAACAGTAGACTACAAATGAGGCCCTTATTAAGATATTGATACTGAGTAATCAACGATTAGGTATTTAAGTACCAAATATGTACTGCTGGCATGGTATTGGAAGGTACACAATTTGTCCACATAATAGAGACACCTCTGTAATTGTTGTCAGTTTCAACTTGGTCTTTTTTGTTTTCCTTTTTCTTTTTGTTGTTGGCTGAGGAGAGACCCAAGAATGATATGGCACAGAAGTTGAGGGACTGAAATGAAATGTATGGCAAGGCTGAGAAAGGGATAAGGAAGGAAGTCAACAGCAAGTGCAGTAAAGGTTAGGACTGAGAGAAACAGAAACAGGATGCCGATCACCTGGATCTTGTTTATGGAACTGAGGAAAACTTTTTTTAAAAAAAGATAAACAGGCCTCCTTAGCATAGAATAAAGTGTTTACAGTATTACGTTCTACAGTATTATGTACATATTCCACCTGAATTGCAATTTATACTTAATTCCAGCATGAAGACTCAACTGATATGCTGAGACAAGTACCAGCACCACTGAGAGAGCAAAATTACTCCATTTGCTTCCAGATTCTGTGGAACTCATAAATTAATTACCTCCCACATTAAATCCAATCACCACCATAGATAGGTATTATTAAGGGACAGAACCCAACAAAAAGTTTGCTTACCTTACAGAAATTTATAGAAGAGGAAAGGCGAGAGAGACAGGCAGGTAAGAAGAAGGATTTTGAGGAGGGATAGAGGGAAAGAGAGAAGAAAAGGGAAAAAAAAGTGTTGAGACAGAAGGCAAGGCATCGAGGGCAGAGGCCCTGTTTGACACCAAGGAGAAGTGAAGCAGCAGCACCAGCACCACAAAAGCAGCATTACAGAGAACTTTGTTCACACACACAGGGAGACTATGATCCATACATACAGTCACCATATTAATGGAAGAATGGTAGCCCATGGGGTTGCTGCAGCCAAAACGGGGGGAATTTTCCATTATTTTTCCATAAGGAATTACCACAACCAAAGACTCCCACATTTTCTTTAACATGTGATCTGTTTCCACATCACCCAGCTTAATCATGGTCTGAAGCCTTTCTATTTCTTCCTGACATATTTATTTGCGACTAACATAGCCTACAAACCAGTGAATTTACCTTGGTAAAAGCAATGCTTCGCAGAGTAGATGGGTCACAAAGAGACAATGGTTACATGTTTTGGGGGGGCAACTCTTCTCAGTCTCAAACAAAATCAAGACAGCTTACTAAATCAAGAGCAGGTATTAATGACTAATTCTCCTCCCTAGATCTCCCTCCGCTTTTGTTTTAAATTTTATAAAAGCTCTGGCTACCTCTGGGGCAACAGTGATATGAACACCTATGACAGACCTGGGCAAAGTGCAGCCTGAGGGCCACATACGGCCCGTGAGCCGCTCCTGTCCGGCCCGCCAGACATCAAGACCATTTATAGCTTTTTGTCTAAAGTTCATCAGTTGCTTAACATACGACAAAAAACTTCTTTAGTATTTGTGAAGATTAACAAGTTTAAAATAAAAACAATCATAACATCACTGTCTCGTTTTATTTTTAAGTAAAGTTGGTTTGGTCCCCGAACACAGTTCAGATTTTTCATGTGGCCCCCTATAGAAATTAATTGCCCACCCCTGACCGATGAGCACTACAATAACATAGAATTCTATGATGAAAACTTCTCTATAGCCCTAGAATGTGAAACAATCTTATTACATATCACTAACTACCTCTTTCTGCACCTTTTAAACTAATAATCTCACTGTTACTGCCTTTATTCTATTCTAATGCTACCTGGATGTGCATCTTTTCATTTATAATTCAGATTCTATGACCAGTATCCTGTTCATGCTGGCATGACATAAAGTTATACCTGTGTAAATGTGCCAGACAATATGCATTACACTGTTGAGTTGCACAATTGATCATGTATTCCTGGCAATATGCCTGTGGAAGTTGAGTTGTGTATGCATAGTTACTAGAGATGGGGATATTCATATTCGTAAATATGAATATCCCCATCCCAGCTAGAACTAATGAAGGTCCGGCCCCCGAGACTGGCCTGTCCATTCACGTGTCCCGGCACTGTGAAAGTCCTGCTCTTCCTGCCAATGGTGCAAGGAGCTCTGCTGTCTTCCTGCTCGGCTGGCCACTCAGCAGCTCTGTATGGAGATCCATCCTCTCACCTGGAGTGGCCAGCTGAGCAGGGAGACTGAGGAGCTTCTGGCAACATTGGTGGGAAGAGCGAGACCTCTGCAGTGCTGGGACGCATGAGTGGATGGGCCCGTCCCAGGGGTCAGACCCTCCTTAGATCAACCTGGGATGACGATACCCATATTCATTTACAAATACAAATATCCCATCTCTAAAAGGTACACAATAGGATTTTGCCTAATGTTATGTGCATTAAGTGCTGTCAAGCTGCATTTCGCTTGCAATGATCTTCACAGGATTTTTATGTGTGTGAAATGTGTAAGGAATGGTTTTACCAGTGCTACCCCAAGTGAGTTTACATGACTGAGCAGGGACTCCTGAGCCCTACTTCAACACGTTATCCACAAGATCACATTCTTCTTATTACAGATATGAAATTCTGTAGTGAGGAAAATTTTGCAATAATGTATATGAAATAGTGTGCACGATATCTATCATTTACAGAGGGCTTTCCTGACCAAAGGTTAAAAGAGATTGATTAAAAATTACTGGTTTCTTGTAACGGAATGCCCTCCCGACTGAGATTCGTCTGGCGCCGACGCTGATGACATTTCGGCGCCAGGTCAAAACCTTCCTGTTCCAAATGGCTTTTAACTGAAATAACATCAAATGTGGGTCTGATGGCAATTTTTAGAATATATATTTTAATTGCATTTTAATTATTTTGCCCTTTTATTTTGCCTTTTTATTGTATTTTAAATGCTGTAAGCCGCCCAGAGACCTTCGGGTAGTGTGGGCGGCATATAAGTTAAATAAATAAATAAAATAAATAATAAATAATGATTTTATGTTTGCAATAACTAAATCATATTAAGTTATTACTATAATTATTTTTTCCATTCTTGTTGCTATATGTTGTCAAGTCAGAACTAATTTTTAGCAACCCTAATAGGGTTTTCTAGGTAAGTGGGATATTTAAGGAATAGTTTTACCAGTTGCACACTCCCAGTGAATTTCTATGGCTGAGCAGGGTTTTGAGTCATAGTCCCTCATTCTATCCACTATACTACTAGGTATCCTATTTGAATTATTCCTTGATTGTCTTTCCAAACTCAGAGAATAGCTCTTGCGTTCAAAGTTGTCTGAGCTTAGTAATCATAACCTGTTTTTCCCACGGGCTTTGAGCTGATCAGGAATGTTATTTAAATTATACTCTAGACCTATGATGGTTTTACTGTTGTTCTTCAGCTTTACTCTAATTTTTAATATCAGTGTTCAAAACTTTAAAGCAACAAATGGAACACTTAAACATTACAGTACACTAGACTAAGATATTTTGAACTAGACTAAGATATTTTCAGTCTGACAATTACAAAGTATTTCACTCTGAAAATCATAAAAATCAGAAGAAAAGTGTTACTCTAATATGGAGGTAACATATAGCATTAAAGGCTATAACGCAAAGTGTGATGGAATAACATCAACATAACCAACTTTCAAGTCTATACTCCAACTACAGATGAAGGGGAAAATAATAGAAAGTATTTATGCAAGTGTCCAGGAGAAAACTGATCACACATCAAAGCATTATGTGCTGATAATCATAGGTGATTGGAATGCAAAAGCATGAAACAAAGCAGAATGAAACATACCTAGAGAATTTAAATGAGGAAAACAACATATCAAATTCTTTGAAGTCAACAATTTGTTTGTTTGTTTGTTTAATATCCCAACCATTTAGACCATGTCTAGTCTGAGTGGCTTA